ACACATTTACTCAGACACTCACCCACACATGCACATGCACCTGCCTCCATATTTGCACACAAAGTTAGAGCAACAGTGTAAAAGTTCTTCATCAGTGTCCAAACTTTTATGCCCTTGCTAACCCTATTTTTAATTGATGTGCATAAATATATTGAGTTTCGAATTTAATAAAAATGTTTCTATTTCACATTTCCAAAAACCATATAAAGACATAGAAGGATGTAATAGGTAAAAAATGACAAAAATGTTTAGATAGATATCGATTGAACGTGAACGGTTTATTAATAATAATTCTTTAAGAAAAATAAATAAATTTGACGCACTATACACTATTAAATTAACGAATGTTTATAAGCTGTATTAACTGCTTGTGCCGCATTCTGTTGAAATGAAATACCTATATTATGAGCGCTTTCTTAGTGCACTTCGATGCTTCAAATCGATTAAGAGAATGCTTAATCCATGTAGATTAAGGCCCTAAGTAAGCCAAATTGCATTTAAATATCAGAAGACCCATTTACTAAGCAAACAAAACATACCCATGCATACAACACACACTCACCCACACATATGCATATGAACACATGAGTTAATTCATTATATTTGGCACTTGTTTGCATAAATTTTACGCACATTTTGCTTTGCATACCCTGAAAGGACATTAAGTGAATTTTTCATGAAAGCAATCAGTTAGCCACACAATAAGTGTGTCATGTGTTTTAAGCGGTTTGAACCTTGGCAGCATGTTGAATGAATCATTAAAAATAACATAATTATATCAACTTACCTAAGCCCAACGTGTATTGTGCAAATGTTCGAAGAATTCGCCAAATTTTATGGAATGTAATTATATGGGTACAAAAAATGTAATTGCTTCGCGCTGTAAAAAAAAAGAAAATAAACCGTTAAAGAGTTTACTAGGACACAAAAATCATATTTAAAGGATAGTAGATAGCAAATAGAATCTGTTAATAGCAGTTATCCACAAGCGTAAACTTCAAATACATACAAAATATTTTGCATTTCAGACATTCGGACAAAACAACATGTACATGATAATCAAATAGATCTAAACCACGGCAACAATCTCTGCTCTAATGTGCGCCCAATCGGGTCTGTTATGTGTGTTTAGGCATACATGCACATAAATGAACTCATATATAATAACGCTGGCAATGCATAATTCATTTTAAGCACCACTTAAACTTATGGCAAACGGCCGGTACGCAATTTAAGACAGAGTTTAATGCATTCAATACGTCATTGGGCATGTTGCGAGCGGTTTTGGTCGTTGCTCTGATTTATGGTGCGTATACTTGATGTGGCCGCAAAACCGCACAAAGTGTTGCTACTGTGCTACCTTCCTTCCTGCTTCTGCTGTGGCTGCTGCTGTTCCCGGTTAATAAAGCTTAGGGCAGACCTTAAAAACACATATACTCTTCTGAGATGAGTTCAGGTCTGACAGGGACGCTTTTAGTCCGAGATCTGATATTAAACTTTATAACATTTCGATGTGTCTGCATTTCGATTGCCCATAAACGGCTTTAAGGATTTAAGACGACCCCAGTCTTGAGCTTAAACTTTTCATGAACTGCAGCCATAGAAGGCGCCTTCATAAGTAAAATTGTACGTTCATCCGTGGGGGCATGGGAGAATTTGTATGCGCGTGCTTTCAGCCGGCCATGCCCAATTTAATTTATCAAAGTCATAAACTGTTAAACGACTCTACCAAAAAATACACCGTGAATGATGGACGGCAGACAACCCGCCAGATTCTTGTCAACTTGAGATGTCCAATTAAGCGAGCATTCATATAGGTATAAAAGATAGACTAATTTCGCATATGGAAACTTATTACAAAACTTAAGAAAGGGATAAACATAAAATACATATTGATGAAACATATTTGCCAATCAAAATGAGAAATGAAAACAAGGTTCTAACGGGAGCTCCCGACTAGGGGATACCCTAAAACCTTTTATTCCAACACCAAATGCAACTCGCGTTACGCGATCGTTTGTAGTAATAAAGATAAATTAAAAAAAAAAGTTCCCTTGGCAGAGATCGAACTCGCAAATGACCGCATTAATTGCTGCCGGCTCTACTCAACAGCCACACCAGCAAAAAGAAAAAATTAAATTTCCTCGGTAGGGTTCGAGCTCGCAAAAGAACGCACTTCTTGCCGCCGCAAGTAATGTATTAATTCTTATTGAAAACAAAACGATTTAAGATGTATACAGAAATTCTTGCAATTTGCCCTTGCTGCCCCAAACTCGAGGCCAGCCAAAATATGTTTTCTTTAACAAATTCTGTTTGTCAAGTTTGGCGAGTCTTGCTCTTATTATTTTCCAAATTGCTAATAAAAAACGGATTTCAATATAGATTTAAATGGATTCCTTGCAAACGGGGCATAAATTTGCACAAATACGTTATACCCTTTTTACCTATTTTCAATGGTTTCAGGGTACAAAAAGTCCAAAAATATTTGTTATAAAAAAACCCAATTGCAAATCAGCATCACTGCGCAGGGAAGAGGAGTGCAATTGAATTGGCTCGTTCGGTGCACTCGCTCAAAGCCCGCGGGCCAGCAAGTTTGCCGAACTGTGGAAAATATAATTACGAGGACGTCAAGCGTATGTTTCTCCAGTTATACACACTACATCACCAATTTGCGCGGTGGTCTAGCTAAAAATATTTCGAGGATATGCAAAAACATGTAAAGGGAAGTTCTGGACGGTCCTTAGACATTTGGTGTATCTGCAGAAGAAACAAAATATCAGCAAACGCCAACTCACATCGACTTATTGGATATAGCTTGAACCTGCAAGGTTTACCTAAGATTCCGTCTGACTCATATGCTATCGACATAACCTATTGTACAGGGTATAGAAAAACCGAGGCTGAGGTGCTACCTAAAAAAATAAAAGCTGAAAATCTGCTGATGTACCATTCCGGGTCTTAGTCCAAAATCTACGTTTAAGCCTGGAGGTGCTTCTCTATCGGCCCGGAAACTCGCAACCGAAAAGTTTCTGCCATTTAAGCATAATTTGCTTAACCAACGTATACCAGCAGTCGGGAGGATGGGCGACCCAGCTCGAAAATGGGCCACAAGCTGTCGAAAAAACACTCATAAAATATCGGCAATAATAATTTTCGAGGATAAAGGTAACATTCAGTATGTGTCTGTGTGTGGGTAGGTGTGCGCGTGTGTCTTTAATTTATGCAGCGCCGCATTTTTGGTACTCATCCACACACGCACAGCTCAAGTGTTGGCAGGTTGCGGGCTTGCCGGAAATCAACAAAAATTTATTGAGCATAAATTTAAATCCGCATGATGCTCAATGCCTGCTAAGGCTGTGGATTTGCTCTGCTTTGTTTGCGAGAGCGTTTTATGAGATTTTAAATTGATTTCATTTGCATTCCGCATTTCGTTGCCCCTGGCTTTCAGCGTGTCGGTCATTTCCCACACAGCTTCCGTATCCGCTTTCGCCGACAACTAACATATGTCATAAGGAAATAAGGAAAAAAGTCGCTAAATAAAGACATGATACGTGGCAACAGCTGTTGCTGCTGTTGTCGTACAGAAATTACAATGCTGTCTGCCCTTATAATGAATCGCTGTTCCAGGTTTATGCATTCAACATCTGGCTTTTGTTTTTATTTTGTCGACTGCTCGTTGGACCAAAATCAATGAAATGCTTCATTATAAATAAGCAATTTTTGTTGCGTATTATTTTTCCAAATATCTTCCTTTGTTTAGCCATTGTGCGCACCGGACTGTCCGTTTCAGTTTTGTTCACTGCTACAAAATTGGGTGTGATAATAAGTATCTAATAATTTGTTATCATTATTGGCTATGGTCATTTTGTTGTCCCCCCCTCTCGCACGCCCTATTCATCTCTTGCTATCTGCGTTCATGTATTAGCCTAATGGACATTGCTGTCTTGCCCGCGCCAAGCCGCCCACGTCTCAGTGATTACCGAGCAAATTAAATTAGTGAAAATGTCGAAACGAGGCACGAGCAAGGTAAGAAAATCTAATTGCCTTTATTGCGGCTGCCAGTGGCCACCTCTGACCGTGTGTGTGGTGTCGAAATATAACTGTATTGTATATATGTACATGTGTATTACATATGTTAATGTAAACAGGTGCTGGCATCAATTGGCGTTTGGGACCAATAGAATTAAACAAGCTAATTAGGTTTTATAGATACTTATTAATAGGCGAAAAACAAATGTGTGGGGTTACAAACTTGTTTTATGGTCACCCAAGGCCAAAATCGTTTTGGGAGCTCGCGCACAAAATGTACTGAATTAATTCAATTTAATTTCAACTTTAAAAATCTTTAGACGCAGCTCAATATAAAGTAAGTGATTAAAGATGTACGTAATGTTTAAAGCAGCAACAAACAATTTTACAAGCTATCGAGTACACAAACCACACCGTAGGCGACACCTAACGGCCATTTTGTTTTTATACGGCCATTTTTCATACACTCGGACTAGCAGGGCGAATGAGCTTTAACAGGTAAATGGGTTTTCGAGAAAGCTTTAGGTTGCACATCAAAGCTTTATCACAATGGCGGAAAATCAAATAGAAACAGTTATAAAGGTATACGAGTGTATCGGTATTTAAGTTAAGGAAATACATTTCAAATTACGCTATTCGTAATCTTTTAAGGTCAATGTCTTGCAGAACTGACTTTCGTATTAACTCCACCAAATCAAATTTGGTTTCATTGAGGAGCAAAGCAGCAAAAAAAAAGCAACAAAGAAAATATTTGCACACTACACAGTCCTACACACGTAACGACCCAGACTTACAAAGTAGAGAATCGACCAAACTAGTCGACTATTGCATGTCATTGGCTTCGCCATTGACGGGGCTGACAAGGCAACGCGCAACAAATTAAAGCAGGTCAGCATGCGAAACTCAACCTCGCAAACAAGTCGTCCCGCTAAAGGAATTTCGACATTGGCCTCGCAGACAAAAGCTGCGAGATGAGCGCCAATAAAATTTTTCTGCGCTACTATCCGCCAGGTGAATCTAAAGCAATCCGCGATCTGTTCAAAAAGTAAAAGATAATATATTTAAATAGGTTTGGCCTTGAGCTATAGATCAGCTACGGGCGGAGAGCGGCTACGACATTTTGATTTACTCGACTTGAATATCAAGTAAGTAGCCAAAATGATGCAGCGTTCCGCTCTAAAATTTAATTCATTACAGAACAAATGTGGAGGAGCTAGCAGATAGCGTAATAATCCAGGAGCTGGAGGCGATTGAGTCGGAGCGTGGCCAGGGAGACGTTGCTGCAGATAATTCCACATTCTGCCTGTCCGCCAATTCCAAGGCCTCCAGCTCCCAGGACATGTTCAGCGCACTGAAGCAGGCAATAGTCAAGCTGCAAGCCAAGTTACACGAACCGATTAAAAAGAAGTTCTATCTGCATAAATCCTACACTTCGCACATTCTGCCGCTCACCAACGTGTGCTTTGATCGCAGCGGTGAGCGCTGCTTGACGGGCAGTTACGATCGCACCTGCCATGTGATCAACACCAGCACTGGTCAGCTGCAGCATATGCTCACCGGCCATGACAATGTGGTGTTCTCAGTCGGCTTCAACGTGCCGCGCTGGTAAGTTTCAGTGAATCTCTTAAATTGTGCCTAATTCTTGTGGGGTGTTTAGCGACAAGATCATCACGGGCTCTTTTGATGGCACTGCCAAGATTTGGTCCGCAAGCAGCGGCCAGTGTCAGTTCACGCTGTATGGCCACACAGCTGAAGTGGTGGCTGCCGAATTCAACCCTGTGCATGACCAGGACGTTGCAACGGCCTCTATTGATGGAACGGCACGCATCTTCGACGCGGAAACGGCGCAGGAACTGCAGCAGTTGAGCCACCACGGCGCCGAGGTGATAGCGGCACGATACTCTCGCGACGGCCAGCTCTTGCTGACGGGCTCGTTTGATCACACAGCTGCGATTTGGGATACGCGCAGTAAGAGGCGAGTTAAAGATTAACATAATCAATGTAATATTGCCGCCAATTGCACTGTTCCACTCCGCAGCCACTGTCATCAACTGCGCGGACACACTGCAGAATTGTCCAACTGTGTTTGGAATTTCAGCAGCACATTGGTTGCGACCGGCAGCCTGGACCGCACTGCACGCATTTGGGATTTGCGTCGCCTGGACCAGGAGCTGCACTTGGTATCCACGCACAGCGATGAAGTGCTGGACTTGAGCTTCGACGCGGCTGGCAAACAACTGTCCACATGCAGCAGTGACTGCACAGCGCGTGTTTGGAGCCTGGAGCCGTTCGAGATGCTGTCCCTTATGGCCGGCCACAGCGATGAAGTGAACAAGGTGTGTTTCAGTCCTAGTGGTTGCATGCTGCTCACTGCCTCGGCGGACAACACGGCACGCCTATGGCTGACTGAGACGGGGCAGTGCTCCCAGGTTCTGAGCGGTCATGAGTCTGAGGTTTTTAGTTGTGCCTACAGTTATGCGGGGGATGCAATATTAACTGCCTCCAAGGACAACACTTGTCGTGTTTGGAAGTGATACGACTGGTACACTGTGCAGCTAAATTCCGACTAAATAATATGAATAATTTCAAGGGATTTTTTTTTTTAACATTTACTACAAACTTGGGAGTTATTTCTTTTTTGTTTTGCTTTAAGTTTCTTAATATTTCATTTTGCACACTTCTTAAAAAATAATAGTTTTTCTTTTCCATTACAGTTTTCTTTTTTACTTATTTTTTTTTTTTTGTTTTTAAATTGGATATCTTCATATACATATATAAAAATAATGAACAAAAATGATCCTTCAGTAACAAACATTATACAGCTTTCAAAAGTCCGCTTCGGTTCGGAATCAATAGTATATTAATACACAGTTTGAAAATTAAAATAAAAAACTTCTTGTACAGACACCTTCCGAGCGACTTTTTAAGACATGGAAAAAATAGTTTTTGTATTGATTTTTTTTTCGTTTCTTTTTTGGTAAATTTTTTACAAAGCTAAACTTTCTATACAGTTCGGAGGCGGGAAAGAAAGGCGAGTGAACAGTTCTTCTGAATTCATAATAAGTATGAGGTGTCACGAAAAGATAGATAGACCACTGACTAACATGGAGTTATCCGTATGGGATCGCTATTGTATCTATATTTGTATTTGTATCTCTAGTAACAATTGTAGTATGTAGGTAGTTAGGGTAGTTAGATAAGGAAAGTTGTCAGCGTCTGAAATATTGTGTTGGCTTTCAGCCAAACCCTGTTTGATTCGATTATATTTTGTGGTATCGTTTTTTAGCTCTGAGGTCTGCTTAAGTTCGCTCCTTTCTATAAGTACGATCTAAATAAGATCTACGTAATACAAGGTTCATCTAGTTGTGTTTAGGACTGGCTTTCATTTGAACTATAAAATAATGGGTTTTAATTATTATTAGTATGTTTTTTAGTTTTTTATCAAAGTAGAAAACGGTTTTGGTGTACTTTTTGTGTGTGTGGAGGGTACATTTGTGGTGTGTGTTGTGTGTGTTTTGTTGTTTCTGGTTTTATTGTTAAATTATTTTTGTTGTTGCATTTGTTGACTGTTTGTTTTGCAATTTAATGCGTTGGACTCTGCAAGAATAACGAAAAGGACAAATTATTAACAGTTTGGAGACAGTTGATCAAAGAAAAGCACAGCTAGGACGCGGGCTTATATGAAACGTGGTAAAGTGGAAAGTTTGTGGAGTTGTATTACAATTATAATCATTAATATATTTATTATTATTGTTTTTTTGTTTTGTTTATGTTTTTTTTTTTTGGATGAGCATGCGGGGTAGAGCAGAGCGAACATGCGAGTGCCTGTTTAATTATTAATTTTTGCTTTTTTTGTTCTTTTGTTCTTTATCTATGTAAAAACGAAGAGACGCAAATGACAAAAATGGGGTTCGCCTTACAGTTAGAGCATACGGATTTTAAGGTTTTAGTTTCATTTGTTCTCTTGTTGGTTGGTTGGTTGTTTTGGTTGTTGTTGTTGATTTAGAAATGAACAATATTTAGCATTAAAAAATTCATAGCTCATCATATGCATACAGCTAGAAATAAAAGAAAGAGAATTCGTAAAGAGCTTTCGATTTGTTAATCAAGAATTAGTTGGGATGCAGCCTGATTGTTAGAATAAACAATTATGGTTTTAGTTCAAATGATAAAAGTGATAAAAGAGAAATAATCTGGTAGCTAAGCAAGAAAAGCAAAAATGTTAATGAATCTAGATAATTAAAAAGCTAAATATGAACTTAATAGCATAATCAAAATCAATAAGCAGCAGTAAAATACGCAGCGTAGTCAGAAATTTTAATTTTTAAATGTTGTAAAAAATATTTCGTACTTCACATGGACTATCTGGAAAAACCTCCTTGAATGTGCGCTCGATAACGTGATATCTGAAAATATATTTATTTATGTATAAATTAATTTGTACAAAAATCTTCAGACTCCATTTTCCAGTTATACATACTTGGACTGCAATCCGCCGCCGGGTGGAAGACCTAGAATGTCACCTTTGTCTTGTAGACACTTTAATAGCTCCACATAATCTGTGATCTGATTACTCTCGATCTCCTCTGTAAGAAGGCCAGAAATAAGCAAATGATTATGTAGTAGTTGGGTACATTCAGTGCATCGAACTTAAAGGTTAGACTCATGTTAAAAGTGTTTGTATGTACAATTATATACGAATTATTTATATACATGTTAAAGCTACGCAAAAGCAAATTCACAATTGATCAAAAATAGAATACGAAATATGTTGCAACAGCCAGAGCCGGCAAAAATTGAGATCAACAAACTTAACGTGAGGCTTGACTAATTAATACAGGTCAATCGAATGTGATATTACCAGATAAACATACAAGACAAGAAAAATGTCTGCTTTTCAATTCCATTGACCTGTTTTGTTAGCGTAATCTTAAATAATATAACAAATTGTGGTGTCGCAAAAATTCGCACTTTAAAAGGTCAAAGGGGAGTACACTAAAAAAAAAGAAGAGTGGCAGTGCTCTGCCTGGCCCCCTTTTTTATAATCGTTGCATTGGGTATTGTTTATAAGAAAACTGTTTACAGCATTCAGTGTACAACAAACATTTGAACATATCGAATTGTAAAAGTGATTGGATAACATTTATATAATAACTTGTTTTATCTTAAGAGCATGCATATATCATTTACTTTTCATTTGTGTGTTGTGGGATCTATGTGCCTTACCTTATGCTCACTCTTCACATAATTTGTATGGCTTTCTGTTTTCTGGCATTGACTTGACGCGCCCCTTTTCATAGTGATTGTGTACATTAAGAGTGCGATTTGTAGCACGATGCGCGATCAACGTTAACAAAACAAGAACAGCGCGTTGCTAAATTTACTTTTACAAATTTATCTTAGAAAGAATACTTGAAAGAAATCATTAGTCATTAATTGCGACTGATTCTTGAAACAAACAAACAAACAAAAACAACAGCTAAAGAAAGTTAACTAAATCACTTGCTAAATTAATAAATGAAAGTTCATAAAAATGCTGCGTAATGTGTAAACGAATAAAACGATAAATAAAAATGTGTTTTCATCACATGAATTTGGTGAGTTGTTGTTTTGATTGCGTTGCGTTTTGGAGGAAAGGGCGTGGAAAGCAGCAAGTGTTTATCGAATGTAAACTGAAAACTGAATAACACAGCAAACAAACACCTTTGGTTGATTGGTTTTCGAATCTTTCATTTCAAGTTATATTTTTTCTTAGCAGCGAAAAAGAAACGTTTTTATATAGTTGTCTTGATATTCTATTATTATTAGCTATATAAACGCCGCTGCTTGAGCAAGCGATTTCAAATATGAATGATTGCTATAGTACTTAGGTACAAATGTTCTCAGTATATCGAAGAGATGTTCGAACTGATTTTGATTAGCTTCGCTGCGACGCATCAATTGCACTTCTAAATTCAACATTTTAAAGTAAATTGTATACGATGACAACAAGCACAACAATTGGTGAGCATAAGGTTTACAATATTTTTCACGTCTTTCTTTCTTTCATATTTTTGTTTCATACTTTTGGTTTCATCTGATACATATATAGATGACCTAAGGCTTAGAAATTAAAATCTTTACCCTAGGCTAAGTAATTTGTCTGGACATTTGATTCAACTAGCTTTGTCTTTTGTTGTACTTTATACTAGATTTTAGTAAATATGACTAATTGCAATAACTTGTGGTTTGTTTTGTTTTTAGTTAATGGTAAACCATAAAGAATTCCATTTACATAAAGTAATCATCTACATCGTATATCTATATAAAGCTGACGTCTGTACCGGAACATTGTCGTAAGGACGTTTTTTAAAATTCACTTTGGTGTTATGAATACTGTGAGCTACCTAAAATCAATCGCGTATACGGACTAGAAAAAATTCTAAATATTCTATAAGACTAATACTTGAGCTTGTACTCAGCGCAGCTATAAGTTAATGACTCATCTAAATCAATTCCCTCAATTCAAGAAAAATCGTTAGTACATGCATATCAATTTTTTTATGGTGCTATTACTTGTTTCTTTACTTTTCATATCTGCACTGTTATGTCGAATATTTGTTTTGAGTTTGAATAAAGTTGAATTTGACTTGGCAAATGTCCTAATGAACTATGACTATGTCTGCTTTAATTATACTTGATTTTGATCGTATTTCAATAAAATGTTTATCAAATATGCGTAAGGTATCTTTTTTTAAAGCATGATTGGGTATTTAGTCAAAGGATTATATACAAGCATATGTACACTGGCTAATGGGGCCCCAACTACAACTGTTAAGGGGGAGGAATATCGATAATTATTAATAAACTTATGGTACTACAATATATTTCTATAAATATGCACATGATATACTGTGTCTAAATGGGCAGGGATTTTGGGTTCTTCAGCTACAAAGAGTTCGATCACTTAAAGCTCTGGCAGTGGCAGTAGCTCACGCATTAAAACACAGGTATAATAAATAAATAATACTGTTACACACACACACATGGTCAGTCACTCAGCCACACGCACAGCCAGCAGAAGTAATAGATATGACAAACTAACAGGCTATGTATACAGGTATTTACTATGCATTATTAATAGGAGATGCATAGGGCTAAGTATGTATAGTTATGAACGTATACTTATGTACTGACTTTGTATTGGCAATGGTAATAGCAATTGTTTTCTTTTTGGTTTTCGAGTTTTCCTTACGGGTGCTACGTGGCAGGAAAATTTTGTTGCAAGTGTGCTTGCATTGCGGATTGGATTTGTTCAATTATCTAGCTATTTAGCTAATACAAATACGTTTGTATTAAGGTGACCTACTAATCTATGCCAACCATTGGTTGGGCCTATCTTTGCATTAAGTAAGTAAGTAAGGTACAATGTATTCGCTTTTAGTCGCCTATGTCAGGTCGTTTAGCGCATCGAAGGTGGAAGGTCGATAGCACATAGACATAAACACAATTGTGTTGCTACTATCGTTACGTTTACGATTAGTTATAAACAGAGTAGACGACTTAGACAACCTCTTGCGATCTTCTCAATTTGTTTCTCCAACCGTCGCTCAGCCTCTTTCGCTTCTTCAGTTGGCTTTGGTGCTCCGGGGAAAGCAATTATTATGATGCTCATGTTATCACGACTACCCTATGGTTCCACAAAAAAAAAAAAAAAACAAATTAATAATTTATTATGTTAACAATTAGGATCATACTGTACCTTGTGCAAACAGGTGTCGACCACCTGATTGGCAATATTCACCAGGTCTGTGGTCACTTTCAGCCTCGAGTATATGAAACTGCATACATCCTCGTTGCTCATGACATCCCAGATGCCGTCACAGGCGAGTACTAAGAACTCGTCGGTGTCCTGGCGGCTTTGGCAAAAGATTTCCGGTTCCGGTGAGACCAACTGCTCGCACTGCCCTTTCTCCTTCACATTCTTAAAGTCATAGTCGCCAAGAGCACGCGACACGGCCAGTGTTCCATTGACACGTTTTATCATTACACTGCCGCCAGCATTGTGAATACGCTCCTTTTCCTCCGGCAAAATAGGCTTGTGATCCTGGGTGGCAAACACCGGAACGCCCTGACGACACAACACCGCACGCGAATCCCCGCAATTGGCTATATACACCTGCGTTGAGCTGATGAATGCACAGACAGCCGTAGTGCCGCCGCACTTCTCTTCCTCTTGGGTAAACTCCGGCAGTTGTCGCATCACCTCGTCAATGCGCAGGAAACCGGTACGTATACCCTTCACATGGTCGCCGTTCTTGAACTCCTCTGTCGTAATGATACTGTCTAGCAAATGCTTGGCACAGTGCTCCGATACCTTGCAGCCCGCATGGCCATCAAATACCGCAAAAAAGCTCCACTCCTCCAATGCATTGCCTAGACGGGCTTGAGCATAATACGCGTCCTCCATCTCACAGCGCCAGCCCTGCATCGAGCTGACGCCAAAGAGCAGCTTATTGCCTTCGCCTTGTTCATTATGCTTTGCTGTTTTCGGCTTATCCAGGAATCCTCCCATATCTATTGAACATAATGTGTGTGTACTTTATAGAATTACTTTCGGGCCAGTCGCGCCTTTGACGTTTGTTGCTGTGAGGAGGGGGAGAAAGACTGATGAGTCCAAACAATTTGCTGAGCGGCATGCAAAAATCTATAAATGCCAGACACCCGACACACTCACACAAGCACAGTATCACACACGCACACAAACAAACGGAATCAAGGATGCGAATAGAGCCTTTAACCGCCTACATTCAAACGAGTGCAGCAGCGCTCTTTTTTTTTATTAAGTTGTTCTGGTTGTTGTTTCTGTGGTTAGTGTTACCGCCGCTTGCTCTTTCTTCATTTTTGCCCATCGATTTATCAAGGACGCGGGCTCGGTGCTAAATTTAGCCCTGTCCAAACTAACACGCCCACACGCCTTTCAGCTACAGCTCAGCGTAGGCGTTAGCTTAAAAGAATGTACTTGTTGCTGCCCTTAACAGTTTTCCGTTTAGTTTAGCGATGTCAATTAAAAACTCCTGGTTTTAGGCGCGAGACAACGCGTCTAGATGAGCAAAATGGGCGCGCATTGCATTGTTTACATCAAAATGTTTCAACAATATTCTAAAAGCATCATGGATTTCTATTAAAATCATTGATGATTTTACAATTTTGTACTTGAGCATTTTTAAAATGCAAATTTTTTTACCACCTTTCAACTGAATAAATTTCGCTTTCAAACATCGATGTTTCTCAAGCTCTACATTGAAATTGAGTATCCACGATCTCATCGCAGACCGCGGTATCGCGCTTCTCAGTCCCAACTGGTATTTCAGTTCGGACAGTGCGCATCACTAAGTGAGTGCCACACGAGGAAAACCGTATAATGAAATTACTAAATTTCATAACCATGCTTACGCCCCTTTCTATTCTTTTACACGGTAGCCAATTCCACAGCATGAATATGACGATGTTAAATAGTTGTAAACGCACATATTATATTTCACCTCACGATTTTTGGATTTTTCGTTACCGATTTTTCGCTTGCACTTACTTTGATATTGTATATGTATATATGTATGTGTGTGTATTTCTTTGTAGCTTGACGAAAATTTTCTTTGTTTGATTTGTGCGTCACCGAACGAAAATCACTAGTAGGCCGCCAGTTAATCAGGATAGAATCTTGTGCATGCAATATTTTTGTAACGCAAAATAAATATATGTTTTGATCAGAAAAAAACAACCACGAATATGATATATAATTCTATCGATAATCTATATCTAATGGACATCGATACATCGTTTAATAGTGATGTACCGACTTCACTATATGCAAGTATGTACTCGATACTTTTAACTTCAAATGAGTATTATTGTTTCAAATGCTATTATTCTAAATACACTGAGAAGTTTTAAAGAAATTGAATCGATTAAAAGGTAGTCGAATTGCACATATTATTTAGTTGGCCGCCAACCGTTTTCAATTATATGTCGCTAAATTTTATTTGTTAAGCTCTTAAACGCTTAAATATAATAAATATAAAATTAATATCAATTTTAATATATTTTTTATTTCAGAGCACGATGAAAAATATAAGAAACGATTAGAGCGTTAAATTTCCTTATATTCTGCACTGACATGCGACGTTTTAACATTATATGTATTTCAACTTTTGATCTTTATTAAAGAGCTGCAGCCAATGCTGCAAATATATTTGAACAGGCACATTTTTGTTGTGTTGTTTGTGTTAGCAAAAACCTCAAAAGTAAATTACTTCTGCCTAGCAATGGGCAGTTCTACGAAGACTCTGGAAGAGAGTATTTTGTTATGTGTTATTTATAAATTATCAGTATCGCTTATTGCTCTCGTCTATCATGGCAAGGCAAACGATGCAATACTTAACAAAAATTCAAATTAAAAAAAATAGCATAAATATTTTTGTGGCGGTACCTTTCTTATGACGAGAGTAAGTATCGCAAGCTATATGTAATACTTTTGAGAAGGGTAGTACTCGATACATACTCGCTTAAATGCTTATGTATTGCATTTTGGTGGTATGAGCCTTTTTCCACTGTCCACATTTCATAAATTTTTTGTGAATGTCATATTTTTGAAAAAATAAAATGCAGGGAGCAGCAGCTCCGTACGTAACTATCGATATATCGTTTAAACATTTAGTACGTCCTACTAGCCGAAAGGTGGCGCCACGGTGTTTGGGAAATGGCGCAAATCACAATTTGTGACACGGACAAATATTCTTTTGTATTATTCTAACAATTTCGTCGTGAGCGAATTAATATGTAATAAAGACTACCGATTAGCTCTTCTAAATATCGATCCAAAAATATATATTTCATGCGTTTTCTGGAGGCAGAGAAAACGGAAAAGAAATATCAGTAATGAAATTTGGCATATGCAGCATATGCGCTGATATTACAGAGGTAGCAAGTGTTGCAATCTACCTAAATACTTGTTTCGTGTTGATAAACAAATGCAATCTCGAACAATCGTAAAAAGTATAAAGCATTCAAGCCAAGAATACGGCTTGGTATAAAAGGATCGTTAAACCATCGTTTAATGAATCCAAGTACATGCTATATGCTAATATACATGTGAGCATTAAATAATCAAAATACCACCTAGATAAAAATTACTGGAGCGGAGAAAACATTTTTCTTTCATCACATTTCTAAATTCCAAACATTTTAAAACATTTTGAACGATTGCGAAATATATGTGCACTAGCGGGTACATCCCGGTCTTGCCCGTGCCAAGTATAAAATGGATTAAGGAGGTACTTTTTTTTTGGTTTATTTACAATCCAATGTACGCAATTGACAACAAAATTCAAGAATGAACTTGAAATTGTTTTAGATTGCCACAGAAAGGTGAAACGCCTGATAACAAGTTCTGAGAAAGTTGTACGAGTTTCCTGGTCGGGGAACTCTTTTATAATATTCGCAAACCTTTAGATAAGGTCATATACGGTGACAATATATATACTAATTCCTAATGTCATAATACCCTATGCAAACAATCCATAAATATATCTGTCTAATGCTGATCGAATCCCAATATCATTATTCCCTTAAAGTTCTTTTTTTTATGATTGAGCAAAACGAATCAATCAAAACAGTATTTATCTGTCGAATTTCAAATATTTTTTTAATTTACTTTAATATTTACAACACCATCCTTGAATGATTCATTCGTATGAGGTGTAGATTGATAAGTTGACTAGATAAGAATAACTAAGAAAGAGGTTCTAGTCGGGAGCTCCCGACCAGGGGATACCCTGAACCCTCTTCTTCCAACATCAAATGCCAATATACATACTATTCTAGAAGCTATATGTCAAGTTTGGTGACTCTAGCTCTTATTATTTACAAAAATTGCCCAAAAAACAGGATTTCGATATAGATTTTTATCGATTAAAATTTCAAGTCTCTAGCTCTCATAGGTTATGATATCCTTGCTTTCATACATACGGACAGACGGACAGACAGACAGACGGACGGGGCTAGATCCCCTCGGCTATTGATGCTAATCAAGAATATATGTATATACTTTTTGGGGTCGGAGATGCTTCCTTCTGCCTGTTACATACATTTGGATTTTGCACAAATACAATATACCCTTATACCCATTTTCAATGGGTTCAGAGTATAAAAAAAATGTATTGATAAACATAAATGCAATCTAGGCCAATGGTGGAAGGTATAAATCATGCAATTCATATTCTCTTGAGGGTAAATAAAAAGCAGTCCGCGCCACTTTGGAAAGACATTCACAGTTAGTAGCTCCTCGAGAAATAATGTTGTTCAAAGCGTTACCATTGTTCCTGGCAATTGGCACAACCCTGGCGATGATGCCGCTGAAGCCCAAGATCGACTCCGATCGCAGTCTAATGGACTTTATGCTTAGGTCGCGTGGAGTGGGCTCAAGCAACCCAGCACTGAACCAGTACTGCTTTAACCGCTACTTGCCAATCTTGAAGGACATTACGGATCAGTACGAGGCTGACTATGGCAAGTGTGTGGACACGTATAAGGCGGAGTGTGAGGCAATAGACGCAAAATACTACGAACCCCGTGAAAATTTGACCGCAACAGCTAAGGAGACCTGCGATGCACTGCTGAAATGTGATGGCAACGTCCACTATGTTGATGCTTTTGACTGCTTCGCAAGCACAGTAAGCCAACTGAAATCCCTTAAGGTACATCCTCATACTCACCTCTCTTACTCTAGGGCTCCGAATATTCCAAAAAACTGTTCACTCTGTCATCGGATGCCGGTGAATACGGCGGAATCGTGAGGGAGCTGTATCGTGCCGCTGACACCGTGGCCGAGTTCTGCGCCAACTATGCCGAAAGAGTATATTGGGAAAATACCGACAGCACATATGCTGAGTTGCAGAAATGCCTGAATGGCGACAGCAAATGAATAACTCACCTGAACATGTATTATTTGTAAAAAAAAAAAAATTGTATGTAATAATTCGTATATAAGAATGCTTATCCTCTGCATACTCGGGATATTTTTTAATTTATTTATTTAATTAAAAGCTAAAAGCCTTGTTAAAATATACAATTTTCCTAATAGCATCACCGACAGATGGAGGTATTTTATTTGCATGTCCGGCCAGCGGTGCCCCTTTTCACGGCTAATTTTGTCAGTGACGCTATAAGAGCTTACAGCTAAGGAGAAGGTTGTGAGTAGAGAAAGAAGTGTTCGTAAGTAAAATTACAATAATCTTAATTTGCTATATTATCCTGAAAGCAATGACTTTATTAGGGGTAGAGAAACTTCGGTAGAGAAAACATGATGTAACCTATTGTAAATTTTACATAGCACCCGAAAAGGATTGTGAATAGCGTAGTCTGTTGCGCACGTAGATAGGAATAAAGGGCGATAATTTCTGGTTGGTCTGGACGGAACAGAGAATTGAAGACGCCGTAACAGAAAACGGTAATCTATACCGCCAGCAATCAACCTTTGTAGGAAGTCAACACCAAGAATTGTCCAACGGTTGGTTAACGACGTAAGGTTGAGAAGAAGCAGTCTGCTGGATGGCAACTGAAGATTAGGGCCCCAATTCAAACCTCGTAAGGCAAAAAGCAGAAATTGCTTCTGAACAGATTCAATATGATCCTGGCTATTGTTATACTGCGGAAACCAGATGCAAGAGCAGTCTTCAAGGATAGGGCGAACAAGATAGATGTACAGAAGTTTTGTTATAAAAGGATCGTTAAGCTCTTGAGCCCATTATTTAATGAATCCAACTACTGAGCTTTGAAAATAAGTTTGATGCAAAAAAACATCGCCCAAAAAAACGTTGAATCGCATCTCTACCGAAGAAGTTTGGATTCTGCAAAAAGTGAGAAACGCATCTCAAATGATTTTTCATATAGATCTTTGAAAATGAATTTGAGGGCGAAACGGCACCAAATCTTTGACCCCCATATCCACGGAGGAGGGATGGATTTTCCAAAAAGTACGAAACATCCATTAAATGAATTTTAACGAAGATGTTTAAAAACGAGTTTGAGACCGATCGGAGGCTAAAGAAAAAAGTGTCTTTCAAACGTTTTCGCCATTTTTCCACACTTGTGGGTGGAATTTCCCGAAACCCCGTCTTAACGTGCACCTTCATCACATTAGGTAACTTCAGTGTAAATTTCAGCTTCCTAGCTCTTACGGTTTGGGCTGTGCGTCGAGCACCACTCAGTCAGTCAGTCAGTTAGGACAAACAGCTTTGATGCTTAAACATATTTAGTTACTTTTCTAATTGGATTGAACATGATTTAACATATTCGAATCAACGTCTTCCGCTCAATTTAGTCTTGTGGCGAGCATTTCACAAGCTCTTTGAAAATGAGCTTTACGCTAATCGGACAGTAATAAAGAAAGTTTAATCCGAGAGTTTTCATATAGCCAAGGATCGTTATAAAAATTCATTTGAGACCTGTTCGCAGAATTAAAGCTTTCACATAAAAATTTAAAAAAATTTATTTTCAAAGCCCTATATAAAAACTTAATGAATACGTGTGTTAACGATTTTGGAGTTTCTAAAAATTTGTAACTTTTTTTTAAAACCTTCAAACTCGTTTTATGGATCTTAGTGAAGATTTATATTTAGTTTTTCATGTAATGCGCAATTCTGATTAAAAGAAAACGGTATAACCGTACTGAAATACCAATGGTAATTACGAACGCCAATCTAAGAACTGACGAAACACAGCCAATCCGTGTGGGCGTCTTTGCAAAGACAGCCTTGCTAGTCGGGGACCCTCGACTCGAGATAATAGATTAGGGGGGTAAGGGGAAGGGGGAGTTTGCCACTTTCGTTCTTAGCAATATTTTTTTATAATTTCCTCTAGTATCTCATAAATACAAAAATAATAATTTCGAAACAATTTTGATTTGCAATAATCTTTTGTGATATTCTTAAGCTGGTACTTTTTTTGTTTTATTTACAATCCAACTCATGTACGCAATTCAGTGACTGCCTGATAACAAATTTCAAGAATGAACTTTAAATTTGTTTAGAAGTCAACAGAAAGGTGGAACGCCTGATAACAATTTCTGAGAAAGTTGTAAGAATTTCCTGGTCGGGGAAGTCTTTCTATAATATTCGCAAACCTTTAGATAAGGTCATATACGGTGACAATATTTATGCTACTTCCTAATGTCCTAATACCCTGTACAAACAATCCAATAATATATCTGTCTAATGCTGATTGAATCACAATATCATTATTACCTTCTTTCTAAGTTCTTTTTTTTTATGATGGAGCTAAACTAATCAATCAAAAGAGTATTTATCTGTCGAATTTCGAAATTTTTTTTAATTTACTTTAATATTTACAACACCATCCTTGAATGATTCAATCGTATGAGGTGTAGATTGATAAGTTGACTAGATAAGAATAAAAAAAATGTATTGATAAACATAAATGCAATCTAGGCCAATGGTGGAAGGTATAAATCATGCAATTCATATTCTCTTGAGGGTAAATAAAAAGCAGTCCGCGCCACTTTGGAAAGACATTCACAGTTAGTAGCTCCTCGAGAAATAATGTTGTTCAAAGCGTTACCATTGTTCCTGGCAATTGGCACATCCCTGGCGATGATGCCGCTGAAGCCCAAGATCGACTCCGATCGCAGTCTAATGGACTTTATGCTTAGGTCGCGTGGAGTGGGCTCAAGTAACCCAGCACTGAACCAGTACTGCTTTAACCGCTACTTGCCAATCTTGAAGGACATTACGGATCAGTACGAGGCTGACTATGGCAAGTGTGTGGACACGTATAAGGCGGAGTGTGAGGCAATAGATGCAAAATACTACGAACCTCGTGAAAACTTCGCCGCAACAGCTAAAGAGACCTGCGATGCACTGCTGAAATGTGATGAAAACGTCCCCTATGTTGATGCCTTTGACTGCTTCGCAAGCACAGTAAGCAAACTGAAAGCCCTTAAGGTACATCCTCATACTCACCTCTCTTACTCTAGGGCTCCGAATATTCCAAAAAACTGTTCACTCTGTCATCGGATGCCGGTGAATACGGCGGAATCGTGAGGGAGCTGTATCGTGCCGCTGACACCGTGGCCGAGTTCTGTGCCAACTATGCCGAAAGAGTATATTGGGAAAATACTGACAGCACGTATGCTGAGCTCCAGAAATGCCTGGATGGTGATATCGTCGAGCCTTCTTCAACCCCGTCCACTACCATGAAAACCACCGCAGAAACAGAAACAACAATTGTATAACTCGCCTATACATCAATTATTTGCAAAAAAGTTTATATAAATCTGATATAGAACTGATGAAATTCTTATAATTGATTAAATTATTGCAGTTTAATTTAGAACATAACTAATTAAAAAAATTTGTTTAGATTGTACAGAGTATTTCGAACCTAAATGTTCTACATGTTTACTATGATTGCTATTATTATACCCTGTAGAGGGTATTAAAATTGCCATGAAATGCGTAACGTAGCAGGAGACATATATACTCTAGATCAGCATCAACAGCCACGTTTATATATCCATGTCCGTCTGTCTGTTTCTATGCGAACTAAAGCTATCGTCTTGGTACTTTGCATCGGCCCGTCTTTCTGATGCAGTAAAGCATATATATTCTAGATCAGCATCAATTAACCGCCCGCCTGTTTGTATGTATGAACGCAAGGATCTCAGAACCTATAAAAGCTAAAAACTTGAAATTTTGAACGTAGGTCCTCGTACTCCCGCGCAATACTAGTTTGTTTCTGATAATCGATAATGTGCGCGTTTCCAAACATTCGATATGAATCGATGTCGAATTTCGAAGAAATTTGCATCAAACTCCGAATTTAATAGCTTCACTATTACCTTTAAATATCTGCAAAAGGAAAACATCTTCACGGGTAGTACATTTTCGTCGTTCCGAAGATATCTTTACTTTCTCGTTTTTTCTTTATTTATTTCTTATCGGCATTATCTAGTGGATGGTACAATTACACTTAAGGATATGATTAAGAGATAGTACAACGTTACTCAAAAGAAGTAACGTTCTAGAAGGTAGGCTCGACGTAGCAACGAGGAGGAAGCGAAAATAATCGGTATAACGATTAATATTAGCTGCTGAAAGAATCTCATAAAATTGATAAAAACAGATTTTATATGATACTTCAGATCTGGAAATAGAAAATTTCGGACCATACCAAGCAATGTATATATTTTAGTTACCATTCTTATAAACATTTTAGTGACATAATTCAGTCTAATTGCTCTGCTTTACATTAATATTATCAATGCCTCTTCGGCGCTTTATACAGGAAAAATACGTTGGCTTGTTGGACAAATAACAAGAGGTTCTAGTCGGGAGCTCCCGACTAGGGGATACCCTGAACCCTCTTCTTTCAACATCAAATGAATATATATATTCTATTTTAGAAGCTATATGTCAGGTTTGGTGACTCTAGCTCTTATTATTTACCAAAATTGCCTTAAAAACAGGATATCGATATCGATTTTTATCGATTGATTGGAAACGGAGTTAGTTATCGATTATCGGAAACAAACTCGATCTGCGCGGGAACTAGGACCATCTACATCTAAAATTTCAAGTCTCTAGCTCTTATAGGTTCTGAGATCCTTGCGTTCATACATACGGACGGACGGACGGACGGACGGACAGACAGACGGACATGGCTAGATCGACTCGGCTATTGATGCTGATCAAGAATATATATACTTTATGGGGTCGGAGATGCTTCCTTCTGCCTGTTACATACACTTGGATTTTGCACATATACAATATACCCCTATACCCATTTTTAATGGATTCAGGGTATAAAAACAGAAAATGATAAAAAGAAGACAGTTTATAAATTAACACAGTTGATTAAGGAGTTAGGTTGTTTCGCATTATGATGACATTGACTTCAATAATTAAAAGATAATAGAACGCTTTAAGAGATTGTGCTGAAACGAATCAATATAAATACAGCCGAAATTGTAAGAGTTTGACAACTTATTTTGGTTCGCCAATTCGAATCAGATACACGGTTTCTGGTCGATATCCTTGTGAAGATGTGTCTGAAATTATCTGTGCTCCTGCTGGGTCTCAGCATCAACTATACGTTGGCTCGCAGACTGCCGACAACCCTTAAAACAAGTGAGAAGATTCAGAAGCTCCACAGCGAAAGCCTGGTTCTGGCTGAAGTACACCAGGACACGTCGACAAAATGCTTCAGTTTCTACAATCCGCAATTGAACCTAATAACGGTACAGTACGAAGTCGACTACGATAGCTGCATCAGCGCCTATGAAACATCAAACAAAAATGTTGAAAATTGCTATAAGTCTGAGCGCGAGAGCATAGAGAATAGTGCCTTCCAGTCCTGTAGCGCTTTATATGCTTGCAATCTGGCCTCGAATGCCTACAATGCGTTCGAGTGTGCCTCAATTACGGTAAGTGATTTTCTTTACCACAAAACTCGAATTCGATATATGAAATGCGTTTAAATTAATTCGGATTTCCAGGCTGCTGACGATGCCAAGATCTTTTATGCAATTTCTGCCAACGCCACGGATGCTGCTATCAAGAGCAAGTCGGACTATTCGCGAGTTGATACTACCAGGAATGTTTGCGTTAGCAATGCGGAAAGGAACTATGTCGAGAACACGTCTAGGGTCTATGGCCTATTAAATAGTTGCCTATTGGGCAACGATAATATTCCAGTAACCCCTCCATTATCCACTGAGCCCACAACAACAGAGTTTACAACTCGGTCAGAATATGATGAATAGAATTTAATATAATAAACATGCATTCAATAAAAAAAATTCACATGTCTATTGCAAAGATGTTAAAGTACTACAAATTGATAGAGCATCAAAAATTATTTCGAAGCCGAACTGATAGAACTGAACTGAACCGTTTCCGCCAATTTACTAGAGTTGCGTATGGATTTTCAATAATCACTAATTCGGTAATCGCAATTCGCTAAGCGTTTTCCTTGGGGATTTGAGAGTAAATGAAAGACCTATCGGATGAAATTGAGAGCTTCGGCCTTAAAAATTGTGTATTCGCATTTTTAATCGAAGGGGCTTGCATTTTTCAAAAAGTGGACAACAAGTCTTAAATAAGTTTTCTTAAGATCTTGACGAATGAGATTCCACTCGAAACTTCGTTCGTTCAAAGTTTGACCCGCGTTTATCAACCTAGAAAAATAGATTTTCCGAAAAGAGTAAAACACGTATCAGATGAATTTTCACAAAGATCTAAGGCTCTAAGAAACTAATTTAAGCCCGAAACATCACAGCCCATCACATTTTTGACACCCATTTCCACCCAGGAAAAATGGATTTTCCAAAAAGTGCGTTCAAATAAATTTGAACAAGATCCTAGAAACGTGATTGCATGGGCTCTTACGGGTTGAGCTGTGCGTGGATCACCCCTCAGTCAGACCGTCAATCATTCAGAACAAATAGTCCTATATAGAGAGATAATCAGCTGTGTATTAAGAATACATATTTTCCAAACATTTGCACAAATTTAAAATGGCTTAGCTAGGAAATATCAAAAATGTATTAATAGATGGGTTCGAATTAAACTGTTTCAGAGAACGCATTTTAACTAACTAGATTTAATATATTTTTACTAGAAATTATGCATCAATGCCTAAAGCCGATTTGAAACTAAGCCGGACCACAAATTTATTAAATTAAATCAGTTGCCAAAAAAATCACTGAACCGAAACCCAGACGGAGCCCAATTTTAGATGAAAATACAACATTTCTGAAGGATATTCAGCACACAAAGCATTATTTACTTACCATAGCGTTATTTAAAATTATTTTTGCAGATGACAATTTTGTATATGAAAATACGGCTTTTAATACGTTCGGTTAATCAGAAACGAAATTTAATTTAACAATTGAATTGCAATATTAAAATACTAAAGGCATATAACAGACTTAGGCTTGAACAAAAAGCGGAACTCGTCTATATGGAAGGTAGGAGGAGGAAGGAGGAAGGAACATTTAAATACAAAGTTAATTAATTAATTAATTGAATGAAATATAAATCATTTTTCTTAATGTTTTGCTGTGTTCCCCAAGACTACAATCGGTTGTTTTCCATGAATTCACTCCAATATCAGTTTTAATTACTACTTTACGTTTGGTCGGGCGATAAAAACAAATAGCTCTGCAAAATCACAGCTACTTACAAGTTAATTGAAATCAATTATTAGGTTAAGCCTCCAACAATTTCTCTTATTACACAAAAAGAATTGCTATAACTTCGGCAGCACGCGCAAACAAAATCTAATTAATAGCAAATAAACAACGGATGTCTGATAAAATATGTAATTTGGCTAAAACAACTCGACGAACATGAAATAATTGAGAACGAATTGATTGCGGCCATTGCTATCCAGAACGGCGCCCTATAAAAAGCAAAGCATTTTCAAATCCGATTCAAGTCAATTCAGAGCTTTGAAATGTCGTCGACAAGCGGTATATTGCTGCTCCTGGGCCTGGTCGTGGTTGCGGCTGTTAAGCTCGAAATACCCAAGATCCATCGCTTAAAGCAGCAGTCGGAGCTGCTGAGCGCACAGAATCCGAGTAATGCTCCACTTTGCTTTGAATACTACAGGCCAAGACTGGACAACATTGCGCAACAATACGAAGTCCAATACACCTATTGCAACACAGAGTACGCCGAGCAAACCGCCTTGGAGGATTCTAAGTGGCAGGAGCCACGTCAGTCCCTTGTATCCAGTGGAAAGTATTCCTGTGATCTGATAGCAGACTGTTCCACAATAGTGGGCTACGTTGAGGCGTTCGAGTGCTTCGCCCGGGTGGTGAGTACCTCATTACGTGAGATTCTATATTAAGTGAGTCTCGACAATGGCGGATTATATTTTTTTCAGGGCGCCGATGAGTCGAAATCGATGTACGAAATTTCGACAAACGCAACCCAAACAAGTTTTGAAATCAAGAACTTTTATAGGCAAATTGAAAGCACAAAGACCATTTGCATCAACAATGCGGAACAGGCATATGTCAAGGATACGTCCGTAACCTACGAGGCGTTAAATGATTGCTTGAGTGGTAAATCACCCTTAACGACCGAGGACTATGATTCTTCCGAATCAACAACGGAGATCTATTGGGATACAACAATCTAATTCGCCTTTCCATTCCTGAAAATTGTCAAATATCATTGATGTGAATTTTTAAAATGTTGAATGCATGTTTATTTTAAAAATAAAGTAATATGTCGTAATACAATCTCATTCATTGAAGTATTATAGCTTGCAACATGTAACAGAGGACGAGTATGCAGATCCTAACTGCGGCAGCTCCTCTTCTCCCCTCTTTACAACACTATAAGAAATGCTTTCTTGACTAGGTTCGATATATATTGTGCGATTTATATGACATTTTTAGGTCATTAATATGACAACCAAATGTGTATAAAAAGCAAAACTGAAGACGTTGTCTCTAAAAAGGAGCTATAATAATATAATAATAATAATCTAATATAATCTTTAGTAATCATTTTACTTTTCATTTTATATAATTTTGCACAAGAATAACATGGATACATATTTATTTTTATAGAACTCACAGAAATTTTGTATTTTTATTTTATGTGACAAACAATTAGGACTCTGCGATTTCGTCTGCGGTGTCTAATGAAGATCTTATTTAAAATCAATAAATCGATGCAAACATAATTACATTTCTCCTGTAAGATCCAATTTAGAATCAGTTTTGACAACCTGTGAAGAATTTTAAAACAAAACGAATTTTGAAATCCTACTTGCCAACTATTCAGAAATGTAAATAAGAGAAGTCTATGTATTCGATATCTGGCAGACCACCCGAAAGCCTTACCTAACTATCTAAGTAACTAGTTTTTTATGTGAAATTTTATGACAATTTGCGGCAACAAAAGACGCACAAGTTTCCCACACACAACATACACCGAGGACGAGCCGGGACAATAGATAACACTTGCGATATGGCGATTATCGGAGTGAGTATATCAATGGTAGTTGCTGCTTGTAGCAGCGGTCAAATGCTGAAATCCTTTGCCATATTTATGGTCCTGGCACACCCATAACTGGGTAGACAGGTATAAAAAATCTGTGCGCGTATTGTTGCACACGATAGGACCGTTGCTTTCTTTTGTGAAAGACCGCCTTTGCAGGCTACCAAATTTTTCGCTTAATTAATTTGATAAATTTGCGGAAAAATGTCAAGTAAAAATTTGAGCAGCTACTTCAATTGAGTTGTAAATGGTTGCTTTTTGGTGTTGTTGTTGTTATTGTTGTTATTGCAAGGTATCCTCAATGGGCAAGTAGGCGTCAAACGGTTTTGAAAAGGATGCGGACTCGATCGTCGAACTCTGCGCAGTGCTGGGTTGGGCCTGTGCTCGTTGCCGACGTCGGGACTACAATTGCCAGTCATGTCTTCATAAATTTTATTGAATTGAACCGCTTACCAGGTTCCAACATGCGCCCAACATACAAAACGGCTTCGTGTCTGCGACTGCCGCCAGTTGGGTGCACACTGCAGCGTCTGGGGCCTGCAGGAGGGGTCTTGCCATTGGGGACTTGCGTCTATTTGACTATTTCATCTTTTGCCGACGCTTGTACATAGCCTTAAATTGAATCGTTACAAATTTTGTTGCTCGTTATAGCAAGCGTTTTATTGCCCAACCAGTTTGGCCCAATGCAAACCAGACAGCGGGCCAAACTTCACAGATTATGATCACCAGACTCGATCGCAGTCTCAATACGCCCTCGTCCTCAAACGGTAGCCTTTGGGACCGCCTCTTGTCCTCGGTTTTGGGTCGCAGCGTTAAATAACTTCATTAAATGCCCTTTGACATTTATGCTGAACATAGAATAAGTATCTCTGCACTGGTGTGTGTGTGTTTGTGTGTGTGTATGTGTGTGGCAGGGGCATTGCATATGCCTCGTCGCCCGCTGGTTATCGCTTCGGGCAGATCAAGAACGCGCGCACAGGTAGCTCCTGGCTCTATAAATTACATAATCATCTGATAATGAAAATTGTTTACAAGCTACAACTTGCATCCAGCACGCCCACAGTAGCCACATAGCAGACAGAAAAGGTCACAGCAGCAATCAGCAGTATATTAATACACTTTTTTTTCGTATAAATAAGTGTTTATTTTTTTACTAAATATATATATATATATATATATATATATATATACATATATATGTCCAACATGTCAACGCTGATTAGTTGCTTTTTTATGAACAACGCACCAAGTGCAGGCCACAGCAAGGGCTAGAGCTAATTGCTCTAATTTCTAGCTAAGCAGACGCGGCTCTTGGGTTGGCCTCCAAGCTGCTCGCTTGACATTTTTTATTTGGGCACTGCCATAAATATTTACTGTGACATCGTTAAAAGGATCGCTGCGGATCGGTTAAGATCAGCGGACGCAGCTTGCGCTGCCGATGCTTATCAAGCTGCGGCATAGTCCTGCGGTTGCCCCTGGCACGAATGTCGGCCGAATTTGTCTTCGTTTCTGGGCTTACCTTCTTCTTTTCGTCGGCCCTTTTGGCAAACAATAGCTCTTTTAGCATTTGGATTTGACTGTGCTTAGCGGAATCAAGAAGAAGAAATGCGCCAAGCCAAAGATTTATTGTGCTCGATGCGCTACATTTTGGAGAGCGATCGCACTTGACTGGCAAGATACTTAAGCTAATCTACCATACCCTCCTAGATAATAAAGCTAGACGGTGTATACCGTCTTATATATA